AGAAACACATCGATTGGTTGCCTCCTGCACGATCCCTGACCAGGGCCCAGGCGGGGGAGGAGCCTGCAGCCGAGGTACATGCCCTTGACCGGAATCGAACCTGGGACCCTTGGGTCTGCAGGCCAACGCTCTGTCCCCTGTGCCACAGCGGCTAGTCACCCCAGTTTTCCTGTGAGGATGCTTAGTAGAGATTGGATATGATGTTTGTTCAGGGACTCAGGACCCTGCATGGGAAAGGTGGTTGGTTCTGCTGGACCAGGTTGGCTCTGGTTCCGGCCGAGAGCCTCATGGCGCCAGCCTCCCCGGGAAGCCGGGCCATCTCCCCGCAGGTGGCAGCCTAGGCCCTGCTCCTCATGCCTGCTCTGCTCTCTTCCCCACAGACAAGCTGGTCAAGTGCAGGGGCGTCGGCCTGCTGGCTCAGGACGCCTCATGGCTGCTGCTGCTGCTGCTCTCCCTGCCTCTCCTGCAGGCCATGGATTTCGTCTCCCTGTGACCTGTGACCTGTGACCTGTGACCTGTCCAGACAGCTTCCTCCTCGGGGTCAGCTGACCCCTCCCCCAATCCCTTACATACCCGGGGGAAATGGGGACCCCACCCTCATAAGGAGTCCCGTGCTGCATGCCATCATCTACCCACTCCCCATGCCCCCCCAACGCCTCCCACCCTCCACACACCACTGGCTTCTCATCCTTGCTCCAGAGCTGCTGCTGCTTCTGTGGTTTATTCAGGGTTTTCCTTCCTTTTCTTGGGGAGTTTGTGAAACGGGAAGCCAGGTTGGGGCCCGATGGAGAGTGAGGACAGGGGAGGGGCTGTGGGGCGGAGGGGTACCTGTGGGGGGGTCATCCCTGCCCCGGGGACCAGAGCCTGGGAGGGGGGTGTGCTTGGGTGCAGAGCCCCCTCAGCAGCCCCGCCCGGATGCGAGGAGAGCGCTAGGGGCACCCTCCCTGCAGCCTGAAGCTGGCCTCTTCCCACCGAGTCCAGTGGAGGCACAGATCCTGCCCAGCAGCAGTGCTGACCGGGGTGGGAGGGGGTGAAGGGAGGGCCCCCCCTCCCCCTTCCCCTCCCCCCTCCCTCCTAAGCACGCTAAGAAGGGGCCTGCTGCCTGTCGCTGCCTCCCCAGCAGCTGAGCGGGCGGCTGTCCCAGCCCCTAAGAATCCCAGACGCCGACCTGGAGGCAGTGAGGGGCCAGGGGAGCCCAGAGCCACGGGATCTGGCCCGTGTTTCTCCAGGAGGCAGAGGCGTTTCCTGCCCTCCCAGCCCCAGCTGGTGCCTGAGCCTCACCCCCTGCCCCACAGCCTGCTGGGGGGGTGGGGGCAGGGGGGTGCCTGGGGCAGGCCCTGAGAAATGGATTTCCCTGGCACCCAGCTCCCCATCTGCCTGACAGCTCTGCCTCGTCCAGTGACTGCATCGTGCCACCCCCGCTTATGACATCTCATTGAGGAAAAAGAAAGTTGCACAATAAACAAACCTCTGGAATCTGTGGTCTCCGCTCTGCTCCCTCCACCCCTAGGCGGCCCCACCTGGCCCCAGGAGGTCTGACCTGCCCCCGGGGGTGCACTGAAGCATGCTGGCTGGCTGGGAACCGCTCTAATTAACGTGACACCTTTGCCCAAATGAGTGGACCTCCCCTCTGCTGACTCACCTGCCCACGCGTGACCCTGGCCCTGAAACATGCTAACAAGGCTAGGAGGTGGAGCCCACTTCTCCTTCTCACGTCTGGTTCTCGGAAAGGCCCCCTCCAGTTGCACCTGCTGCGGGAGGGCATGTGCTGGGGCGAGGGGAGGAGCGGGAGTGGGCCCAGTAGGTGCCGCCCATCACCAGGGGGAAGGCAGCATCTCTCCCGCCCTCCAAGGCCTGGTGCTTCTGTGG